ATTTCATAATTCATCTCTATCTCTATCTATCTCATTCATATTGTATTCTTTAGATCGTTCCGGAGCAAAGAGGAGTTCGACATATGATTTCCATACCTCTAGACATTTTGATGGTTCCGAAATAATATTATCGTTAGTGTCCAGTATGAGCGTGTTTCTGTTGTTTATTTTCTTTGTTGTCATTTCCCTTATTTCCTTATGCATATTGCGGTCGTTCTTCACTTCATATTGTTCTATCTTGTCACATTTTTCAGAGAACCATTTTCCTTTGCCTCTCTAATGTTTTTCCTTATGTTTTTGTGAACTTCACGGTACTTTGTGTTGTTTTTATCTTTGTGTTTCCGTCTTTCGTCCATCATGTCGAGGATCTCTTGTGCCATCCACGTCAGCCTCACGCAAGTGAACGATAATTGAACAGGCAATTCGCCTAAAATCAAGAATGAAGAAGAAGAAGAAGGATCCCATTTGGGTATGCATTCAATTCTGGTCGACATTACGTAAATTTAGCATTTATAATTAATCAAATTTAATAATGATATATAGAGGGTGACCTGCGAAACTATCCATTTGTATCTTTATAGACAAGTTCCCCAGCATGTAACCCTACATAACACCAAATGTTTGATAGAAGTTTTTCTTCTGCGTGCACAGGCAATCGGGTCCAAGTTGACCTAAAAGCTATGGACTTCAGACACGCGTTTAACAATTTCTTGCAAAACTCCTAGAAAACCTGCCCGATTATTTCATTTTTCTCGTTCTCAAGTAGTCAATTTTCAATATCCACATAATGTTGACTTCGGTCCAAATGCGTTCTTCTAGCTATGTGATATTTCGGCCGGGTATCAACATTTATCGATATATAATTGGCAAATGGGACAGTAATTAAATCGACCATCGTCCAATTGGAAAACGGACAATGGAGACTGTTCAATTATAGTTCGGCTTGCAGTTATGTTAGATGGCAATGTGCAGGGCGCATTACACAAACCGCTAGTGTTAGTCATATCGACGTATTGTTCTGGACTTAAATAAGCTCTTGTTCGAATCAATCAATAGGATCTGCCACATTGTGACCGCAGAACTTTAGGGCGCAATTGAGTGTTCAAGCAAAATATCCAAACTATATCAAATTGCCGCATTTACCGCATGTAAAGTGAATTGAATAAGCTTTAATTGCTTTTCATTGATTTAGTTAGTAAATTCATTTTAGACAACACAGTGTTGATGGTAGATGCCAAAATAAGAA